TTTACCACATTTCAGAAATAACTGTTTGGCTTTCTTAAAATCATACTAATGTTTTGTAAAAATACTGAAGTTACCACATCTGGATGCTTTTTAGCATATATCTTCCAATTATACAAAGAAACACCGATATCCTAGTCAACTAGTCTGACTGGGAAAATAAAAGAATAATGACCAACATATTCAGTCGTAAAAATGCAACTTAGGAGATGCATATTTTGGATGAGCAGGGATTCAGATGTCTCACTCTGAATATGCCTTCTAGATAGAATTCACATAATGCTCGACACTGAAGAAATTATAACTGTTTCATACTAAATTACACACATGACGGTGAAAATTCACAGCCCAGACAGAACGGCAAGCAGGTGTCTAAGATGCTCAGCCCAGACATGGGCTCTTCAGGAGCCAGTGACTGAAACAAAATGTGCCTAGCCTCGCTGTGAGTTATGCCTGTGCATTCCCACCTGTGCAGATGCAGCTCCCACAGTGCATGTGCAGGAGATGCTCAGCTGTGTAGGAAGCAACTGGTTAGCTCTCTGGAGGAGCATGGATGTTATTGCTGGTATGAAGTGCACAGCTTTGGTCCTAGGGAGAATACCTTCTGGAAGAACCACCCGTGATTCACCATAAAACTTTCTGATGTATCAATAAGATTGCCACATCAATGGCACAGAATGGCTGCAGAGGGGGAATCCACCAGCCAAGGCTCCCCGTGGGCAACCATCCTGCACCACTGTTCTTGCCAAAGGCGGGATTCTGTAGGAAAAAGCGGCTTACAGCTTGCCAGTGTGGATTTGTCCTACCTCCTCAACCCTGTACCTTAGCACTAACCTATGTAAGTACGAAAAACTGTGTTGGTGCTACACCTCTGGCATCCAGCTGTCTGCTTGCAGCTCCTCAACATAATCCTAACAGGTGCCTCATTGGTGCAGGGAACATCTTCACCACAGATGGATTTTTCTTATTTTACATCACCTCAGCTCAGGAAATGCACTACTTGGCAGTCACTCCAGTACTGCTCCTGCTCCATCACCAACCTCATCTACATCCTGTCCCACAAGTATACATCCCTGTCCCTACATCCCTGTCTTGCTATGTATCCTCAGAAATGAAAGCACCACTGTATCTCCTGCTATTAGACTGTGGCAACCAGACTTTGCTGGATTTCCTAGGGTCTAAGTTGGCTGTGTTTGCCATCTAGTGAGTGAGAAACAGGGTAAGGAAGAAGAAATAACATACCTGCCTAATGGAACGTGGTGCTTTTCAGGTGAACTTTTACTGCTTGTGATAATAACTAATAATGCACCAGCAAATGGGCTGCAGTGTACTGAAAAAGCTGCAACATCTCTGTAATGAGAAATCTTAGTATGGCTCTGGATTACTTCATTTTCCCTAACAAATGGGGAGAGAGAGTCGGCATTGCGTGAGGCTCCATCATACTGGTCATCTCATAAAATAGCTTCAGCTGAAGCAGGACTTGGTCTTCCATCTTTAATAGATAAACTTGCACATCTTTCAAGAAGCAGTTTTCTTTAACTAAACACACGTGTGTGCGTGTGTGTGTCCCAAAAAAAACCCCAATCCAAAATCCCTGCTCTAAATTCTTATTTTATACAATACACCAAAGCATTCAAGAAAGTAATTTATATGCTGGGTTGAAAAGGCTTATTTGGAACTACTGCAGTCTGCTGAGTATGCATATGGGTCAAGAAAATGTCCTCCTCAGAGATTCTCACATAAAACTTAGTCTAGCAGAAGGGGAAATGCTTCTTTCTGACATTCACCTTACCACTTGTACTGACTGGAGTAGTACTTGTGAGTGTGGATCTAAGCCTGGAAATACTCACGCATAAGAGTACTCCTGGATTATGCCAGTCAAAACCATCATTCCAGAAATGCAGCATTTCTGATGGGTGAGGTGTATTGACAACAGAGATGAGACATGGCACAGAGCCCAAGCTCATTCCCAGACACATCATGACCAGGCTGACCTCTGTGCTGACCTCTGTCCCTGCCTTGGTGGGACTTGATAAAAGGCAGGGAACAGGAGAAAGAGGGGAAAGCTGGGCTACTGGGGCCAGCAAGGCAGGTTATGGAAGCAACAGTTCTCACCAGGAGCGGACAGGATGCTGAAGAGTAGAGAGGATGGAAATGAAGGCTGGTAGAAGAACAGTTGGGAGCTACCACTTTGAAAGACTGGTTCACTAAGCTTCATGATGTGTCCTGTGGTAGTGAGTTTCTCAAAATCTCAGATGCTGGAGTCAAATGCATATATAAAAATACTAAAATACATCAAAATTAAATTATTTTTAAAGGAAAAGCTCAAAATCCTGAAGGCAAATATAAAATCAGCTACTTTTAAGAGTCTCTTATGATTTTCAGCCATTCTCATGAAGACTGGTGTATACATTCTTTTTTAGAAGAATTTCTGTACAGCTATAGAAATTACATAAAGAAGGCACTGAGGTACTTTTCAAAACTACATATATAGTTTTTATACAAGAGAGTTTTTTATGTTTTAAGAGAAATTACAACTAAGGGGCAAAGCAGAGGAACACCAAGGAACAGAAACTGTACATTATCACTATACATTTATATTTAAATTTCACATGACTTATAGTGTTGAGTGTCTCTATCTGCTTTACAGTCTGCTGGCTCAGCTAAATGGAAATTACCAAAACATAGAGCCCTTTCAAATAAAGTATACAATTTTACTGTACTCAGTTCACTTTCGTCTTTTAATTGTAATTCAGACCTTACTAAATTGTTCATCTACACTACATAAAGATAAAAAAGCCTAAACCTCCCTGAAATTAGCTCCAGTTTTCTATTAAAACCCTTTTTATATCAAACTTGAAGAACAGCAAGGGTATTTTACCTAACAGAGACAGTATGTTAATCCATTTCACCTCAACTGCACAAGATGTTAACACATATTACAAGCAGAGATGCTGTTTGGCAGCCTCCGTTCTCACCTCATAAAACAAACAAATGAATTTGGCACAGTTTGGCACAAACCTCAAACAGCTCAAGAAAGGCCCCAAATGACATAAAAGCTGATGTGACAGGCTGGGGTTGAATTGTAGTAAATAACCTCGTCAGCACTATCTCCTGCGCCTAACACACGCATATCCTGCTGCAGCATCTTATTCAAGTAAATAAATATTTGTATACCAAATGAATGCACGTTTTTAATATAAACAAATGATGCAGTATGATTAATTAACGATTTCCCGTTCTGAAATGGTGTCAAAAAAAAGTCAACTGACCACCTAACAAAATTACAGCTGCAAAGTAACATTTAACAAAATCCTATACACAGTTTATCATGTATTAATTTTGTGATGTCCGAGAGAGAGGAGAATCTAATTTTCCATGTGACCTAAATAAGCACTTTCATCTGAGGAGAAGAGTGATTAAAGACCTAATCCTGCTTGTCGCCAATTTGAAATCACTTTGCTTTCAGAAGGACTTCCTTCACTGCCAACTGACAGTACTCAGCACCTGGAGCTCAGGGATGTCACCGAGTTTCCAAACAGCTGGAGCAGGGCTTCAGAGGTCTCCAATAATGAAAACAAGTGACTGGCAATATGGTATGCTTCATCCTCTCCTTTCAGTTACAGTAATGCCTCGTTTAGTTGCTTGCTACTATCACGCTATTAGTAAAATGTCTGTATCATTATTCAGATCTCAAATGCTATCTTTTCTCCATATCTCTTCCTAAAAAAAAGAGAATGGGCATTTCTGTTACACTATCAAGGCCAGTATCCCTTCTGAAATGGTTGTCAGTGAGGGACATTTAGGGAAGAGTGTATGAGTAAGACAAGCACATAGAGATATTTGCCATAATGGTACCTCAGTTTTCACTGATTTATGGCTCTGGGACTTCCTGAACATAAGCTCTGATATTAAATAGCCCAAGATAAAAATGACATTCTTTGAGCCTATCCAATTAATCTTTAAATCCCCATAAACACTTCCAGTTTCTGGAACATCCTGTAATAAGGTGTTTCAATATGCCTTGTATGATAAAGCATCTTCTCTTGTTTCTTTCAGATCTACCAGCTACTACTTCCATTAAATGTCCTCTGTTCTGCTACCAGAAGAATGATAGTGAACATTTTTCCTTCTGTGTGCCACGACTGATCTTTGAGACCTCCTAAATGCATCCCACCCACTGTCACCTTCCTCCTGGTCAAAGAGCTCTGCTCTGTTAGATTCTTCAGCTGAATTCATTCTATACCTCTAGCTGTTTGGGTAGTTAACAACTCCTGTTGCTCTGAGGTCATGCAGCACATGCAAAGTCACTCTGACTTTGTCCTTTACAACTCAATGGAGCCGTGATGCTTTTCCGATTATAGCATGAATTCAGGCATCCTAAAAATCCTGCAAGCCCTTTCAGTACACTGCTCTAGGAAGAAGCCTGTTCCTGTCTTAACTTCCCAGTCACATAACTTTGCCCCAAAGATGAGATAAACTATATGGCAATGGCTTGAAACCTGGGGCCAGCTCATTCCTTTTGTCTCTTTTCTTCTCTGGCTTGTTGACCACAAGCCTTTCCTTTGGCTGTACAGAACACAGCAGATTTTGGAAATAGCTGCACTGGAAGTGCCACACACCAAGTCTCTGTCCTCTGCTGCAAAACATCAGCTTAGCTGCAACCTTCCTTGGGGCCTCTGGCTTCCCCAAAAGTTCAGTCTGCAGAAGGCAGAGGAGGTAAGGTAAAACTGGGGACAGGTATGCAGGTTTTACCTTGCTCTCTTTATAGTCTACCAAGATTAACAAGGACAAAAAAAAATATACAGCCTGTGGCTGTTTCACCACATTACCAGCATTTTCAAGATTCTCGTTAAGCATGAAGAGTACATATTCTCACTGTTTATTTTTGTTTATGGTTTCTTTGCTTTTTAAACTAACCTTCTTAAATTCCCATCAAGAAATCAGGCACTGCATGTGCAGGTTCAGCTAAATTAGTTTTGCAGCAACCCACCTTTGCCCTGGGCTGCTCTAAATTGCTCCTCACAACATTCCAGTTGTTTTGGAAACCCAGGATCTGTCAAATGGTAACATAGTCTTCCTGCTGTTAAACTGTCCCCTTCAGCCAAGGAGACAGTAGCTTGAAGGATCTGGTTTCTTTTCTGACAGCAACTGGACCTAAACTGGAATTAGAGTAGAATTTTGTGGTGAAAACGGAATCAGTGTCATCATATTGTCTCTGCATAGAACTCCAGGTAGATTTGGACACTTGATAGATTTTTACATCCACTTCAACATCTGCTATTCTCCAGAAAGTTAAGAAAACAGGGAAACTAAACAACAATTGAGCTACATCAATATGACAGAGGCAGATACTGCCGTTGTTGGCACTGTTTAATGCTTTAATTAACTTAATTATAAACATATTTTTTAAAATGTGTAACTGCCCCCCAACTTTATCTGGAATCTCCACAAAATATTACATGAATCTACCTTGACATGTTTCAGTTTCACAAATCACTTTTCAAAGGTTTCATGTCTACAGTGCAGAAGTTGATGCAGGAGGAACAACCCTAAAGATAGCAGGAGTGTTAGATTTCAGCGCTGTTCATGGTTGCGCTATTTATTCCTTTCTATATCCCTTTCTATATTCCTCTGAGCAAACCAGTGAACGCTATTTTTGCTCACTATAAAAGGAGATATTACTGCCTTGTATCTATTCCAGTTTAGGTCACAAACCTTTATGAAGCGCTCAGACTTTACTGCGATAGGTACAGACTATGTTTCCAAATGTTATAGGGGATAAAAAGTCTGGTAGAACATGTTAGAAAACATCTTTAATTCATGCAACCTTCCACTGACATAAACCAGAGAAGGAGGGGGGAAAAAACCCCTTCCTATCAGGTGGGGAGAGTAACTGTGCCATACCGCAGAACATGCTCTAACCCAACACTTCCCTGCCATCCCTGCTGCCAGCAGAATTTAGCCTCTGCAAAGGAAAGTAGCTGCTACTCTCCCTGTAAGCCCTGGAGGAGAGCTACCATAGAGGTACCTCTGCTACCCCATCTGCCCGGGGACCTGCCTCCTTGCGTGGCAGTTCACCTTCCAGCACCCACTGAGGGCATTCATTTCTCAATCATGTAACTGAAATTCTGTTTGTGCAAAATCATCCATGGAGTAAGTCAACTGATGCCACAGACTTCTACCACAGGTGTATCTGACTTGTCATTTTGAAAGGGTGCTTTTAATTAATTTATTTGATTTTTTTTGTTGAGTTGGGTTTTTTTTGGTTTATTTGTGGGTTGGTTTTGGGGTGGGGGGGGTTGGGTTTTTTTTTGTTTTCGGTTTATTTGTTTGTTTTTAAAGAGGAAGAAATGAATCATAGAATCATTTAGGTTGGAAAAGACCTTTAAAATCATTGAGTTCAACCATAAAAAACAGCAGTGCAGTAGGTATTATTTTCTTCCTCTGCCTGTATTTATTACATCTCACCTCATGCTATTGGGATGAAATTCAGTAAATCCCAATGTGATTTCTACCACAATATTACCTGAAATTCAGCATATTCACAATTCTTTCTATCTAATAAGTACACTTCATCACGCTTAACTAACACTGAACATTTGGAAACGTTTGAGTATTAATGTGGAAAGTTTTTCACCTACAGAACTTATTTGCAACGTGTTAAAGGTTTTTCTCTCTCACAGACACACATAGATGGGTGTATATATATATATATATGATAAGGGAAAAAGAGATGTAGATACGCTGTTAGGGAATCGAAGATGTGCTGTAACAGGACAAACTGTTCCATACTCATGTTCATTAAAAATACTAATATTTCTATCCAGTGTTCAGAAAAATTCTCCTGCAGTATACTACCATATACTACCATATCTAAAGCAGGTAAAGAACTTACAGAAAGCACACGGAACTTACTGCAGTCTCTCTGCATATAACAGAAATTATAATCTTTACTTGTGTTACGTAAAAAGATGTAAAAGTTGGGAGACATAATTCCAGTATAGGGGTCCCAGATACTTTATACGCATCAAAACACATATTCTTCTTTGTAGGAGATGCTGGAATTACTATTTCAGCTGAAATTTCTTATTATTTAAATATTAACTATAGTATAGAAGCATACTGAACTAGAAATTAAGACCTTAAGAGCATTTGCAGTGAGTCAGAATAAAAATCTATTTCTAGAGGGGTGCCAGCTCAGACAGTGGCTAATAATGGATGCTGAGGAAAGATACACGTGGCAAATATGGAATGACATTTCCTGCATTTTAAAGTGGGATACAGCATTAAGTCCACTGAGTTTAAAAACACTTTCTGTACAGTCTGTAAAAATCCTTCTTCTGTATTTTACTTTTTTTTTCCTTTTAATTTGCCTAACATTTTTGTAAATCAATTTACACATCTGACATAAAGAATTTCCATGCTAACAAACTCAACAATTTAACTGCATTGTGTGAAAAAAATACTCCCTTTTGCTTGTGCTTACCTAAACAATTTCTGTTTGTCTTCTAATTGTTAGATTTTGGGAAATAATAAATAATTATTTTCCATTCATGTTCTATACAAAATTAATTAGATGTACAGGTCTCAGTCCTGTTTCTTCTTAAGTTTGTCTCTTATTTTTGAGAAGACCTATTCTGTTTATCTCCCCTTGTGAGGAAATAATTCTGTATTTTTGAACAATCTAACATTCATCTGCACTTCTTCAGATTGATTATTATTTGTAGTGTTCAAATCCATTAAAAATCCAAGTGGGTCAATGCGCTATGTCAGAATTATGTTTTACATTTTATTCTCTTTTCCTTTCCTAACAATTATTAATATTTTATTCCTTCTTTTGACCACTGCCCTAACAAAACTGGTATTTTGCAAGAACTATTCATCATGACTCCAAGTTCTCTTTTCCATTCAGCAATAAATACCTCAGAGGTCACCTTTGCAAAAGCAGAGCTGCTTCTCATCACCTTGAACACAACAACATAAAGCATTGCCTGCCATTGCATTGCCAAGCCTTTAAGTAGCATGAGTTCCTTTTTTAACTGTTCATCATCTATTTTAGTATTAACTAATTTTTTTATCATCACCAATTCATAACTTCACACAATTAGTTCCAAATTATTAATTTTGAGCAGCATAGGTCTCAGCACAATTCCTATTGGAAATATACAGGTATATTGTCAAAGTAGCCCAGGAGAGAACCTTCTCTCTCATTCCCTGACACTTAATTCCTTTAAAGTACTCAATGAATAACACTGAAATTAACTATTTTGGAAAACAAGACACATCACACTGATTGAACCATTCCTGGCCACACACTTACTAGTTTTCTTTCAGAGAACTGCAACAGGTTTGTGATACACATTCCTTTCTAAAAAAAAAGATTACTGACTTTTTTTTTTTTTTTTACTTATTGTACCTATCAATATTATACTTATCCAAGTTTCTATAGTTTTGGGGTTTTTTCCATAGCTTATACCTATTTGCCTGGAGTGGTGATCAGACCTACTGGCCCATAGTTCCAGGAGCTTTCTTGATGTCATAATGGCTGCCACCACCTTCTCTGAGGTTAAGCCACCCGCCCTATGCCCTACAGCTACGACTTTACTGTAGGAAGTTTAGAAATTTTGTATTTCAGTTTGATCTGACTTCTTTGGAGAACAGTGTTTGTTCCTGACAATTTGTCACTACTGATTTATTGATCTGTTTGAAAACTCCTTCACCTGTATTCCAACACTAGACAGCTCCCCCAAATCCCTCCCTGTAAAGAAAGGTTCTGATGTGGAAATCTTCTTAAATTCTTCTAAGACGCCTAAAATTTGTGTCGCTCTACTCCTGTGGCCTTGCCTTACTTGAGCTCTCCTTTTACTTGTTCAAGATTCATTGTCTCTACATGCTCTTCAATGACTTCCTGTTTCCAGCATGTATGAAAGTGTTTTTATTAATACTTCCAAGCCCTTACCAGGTTATTCCTCAGACCCTTTTTAGTCCTCCTTCATCAATGTATTCCATTTAACATGCTTCACATTTAACATATTTTCTTGTCTCCTTCATTTGGGCATGACTTCTACTTTTTGTGAACTATTTATTTAAAATTCTCCTCTCCACACATCTCCTTAGAAATGGCAACCTCTTCATAATCCTTTTAAAGTAATTTTGATAATTGGTATATACATACTTGGAACACTTAAGATGTCTGTAAGCAGTCTTCTTGTTGAATGAAAGTCACTTCACCCTATTGACCCTTCCTTTTAACCTCACTGGTATGTTGTACCTACTTACAAACTCAAATATGACTGAGAAGAAATTACAGTGAAGTAGAAGAACAAGAATGATTCAGTAGGACGTCTTTGCCCTGTATGACTATATGACTGTATGAATTTTATATATGCTCTTTTTGTATAAGAGAATTTGAGGTTCCTTTTCCCAAGAACAAATGAAATGCTCTTTGCTCTAGAATCATGCATTCATGATCAGACTCAATGACACATGACTGTGTATTTCTGGGCTTTAAACACTGGTTGACTAGCTTCCATTAAATGAGTCTGTGGAATCAGAATCAACTTCTCATAAACACTATTACTCAGTTCAAGTACACATTTTTGAGGATTTCAGAGAAAAGACTCCAGAGACTATATTTAAATCTATCCTTCAACAGCTTTAGGCAAACAGGTAGAGCACTGTGGGCCAACCTGCAATTCTTCTAGCCATGATCAAATTTTTATTTGCATGTAGAATACTATTTCAGAGGCCATTTATTCATCACCACCTTTAATTAATACCTTTAATTTCATTAAGATATCTATATTCTAAACAAGTATTTTTTTGTCAATACTGTTACTCACTGCTTTTCTGTATTAATCAAATATTTGTATCATCATTCACCTAAAAAAACCTGGGTCAATAACCACTTTACAAGAAAACTAATTTAGTGGCTCTGGGCTTTTTGCTGTTACTGAAAGAGCCTGACTTCATTAATTTTTTGGTTGGAATTTTGCTTCCAGAAATACCTGTGAGGATTATTTCAGAGGTTCATTTCCTAGTTCTTAGGTGTTTAATTGTCTAATTTGTAGATGTGACCAGGTAGTTAGTGTTCTAAGTACTATAAATGGCAACCACAAATATTTCCTGAGGTGAATTTGTAGGCAAAAAAAGGAAGGCCATTTTTCAAAACCATACTAGAAATGTGTTTTTAATTGTAGTTAAAAGCATCCTCAGCAGTTCTAAAATACACCTAGAGGTGTCATGCCCAAAATGGCAAAGGCTAGGCTCATAATTGTAAGACATTGGCTATGTTTAGTGAAGCCGCAAATGTTATGTGGTGACAGGTACTACTTTAGGCTCGGCCTTTTCAAACTTAAATTACTATGGACTGAAAAAAACAGCTGGGCAAACGCACCTAGGATCTGTTTGCCTATTTGTACGTCACTGCATGGTGTCTCTTGTGTGTATACCCATGTAATAAAAGAGCAGGTTCTGCTTCTTCTAACTACACAAGGTTAGAAGACAGTGAGTCTGAGACAAATGCTACTCTGAGATACTCTCTTTCAAT